CCCGTTCCCATTTCCCCGTTCCCATTCCCGTTCCCATTTCCCCGTTCCCATTCCCGTTCCCATTTCCCCGTTCCCATTTCCCCGTTCCCATTTCCCCGTTCCCATTCCCGTTCCCATTTTCCCATTCCCATGTTCCCCGTTCCTATTCCCGTTCCCATTTCCCCGTTCCCATTCCCGTTCCCATTTCCCCGTTCCCATTTCCCCGTTCCCATTCCCCCGTTCCCATTCCCGTTCCCATTCCCCCGTTCCCATTCCCCCGTTCCCATTCCCGTTCCCATTCCCCCGTTCCCATTCCCCCGTTCCCATGTTCCCGTCCCCCTGGCCCCGCCCCGCCGGAAGGGGCGGGCGCGGCCCGCGCGTGCGGTGACGTCACGCCCCGCGCGGGGCGGGGGGAGCAGCGGCCGGGCGCGCGCGCGCTCGGATCCCGGCGCGGCCATGGGGGCAGCGGCTGCCGAGGCGAACCGGACGCTGTTCGTGGGGAACCTGGACCCCAAGGTCACCGAGGAGCTCATCTTCGAGCTCTTCCACCAGGTACGCCCGGCGCCCGCGCGGCCTGCACCGGGGGAGGGCGCGGCGGGAGGGCCGCGGCCGCCATGGCCGGCGGGGCTACGGCGGCCGCCGCGGGACACGGTTCGGCGCGGCGCACGTGCTCGGCGGCGGCCGCTCCCGCCCGGTGCTTGCCTAACGCCTTCGCTCCCGGGGCCAGGCGGGCCCCGTGATCACCGTGAAGATCCCGAAGGACCGGGACGGGCGGCCCAAGCAGTTCGCCTTCGTCAATTTCAAGCACGAGGAGTCGGTGCCGTACGGGCTGCGGCTGCTCAACGGGATCAAGCTGTACGGGCGGCCCATGCGCATCCAGTTCCGATCAGGTACCGCAGGCTGTTCACCGCTTTTCTAGAGGGAACGTGAGCTGCAGCCATGGTTATTCTAAATTATCACATGAGCATTAAAAATTGCAATTGATAGTGGTTAAATGAGGCACACTGGCTACAATATCTCTGCCCTTTCAGGTGGGAATTTAGGCAGTTGCAGTGCTTTACTTTGGTAACTGGACCATGTGCTTTTGCAGATCACTGATGAAACTTGAGACCCAATTAAATGTGTGGAAACTTGAGAGCCAATTCAAAATGGGTTGATTTTCTGCAAGTTCACTTCACACCCGAGTTCCTTAACTGGTATTTGTGGGTCTCCTGAAATATTTGTCTCTCCCCAGGGAGCAGCCATGCAGCCCAGGATATCAATCCATCCTGTTCCCAGCTCGGAGCTGCTGGCACCAACCCTCCTGGGATGCCTCATCCAGCATCCAACTGCAGCAGGTACGAGTCTCGCCAGCACGGGAGCGTGGAGTGCAGACAGACATTGCATGGTTCACTGTGTTCCTGGCTACTTCCAAGTGCAGTTTGGTGCTTCCTTCCTGTGGAAGGAACACCAGTGGGATGCAGATGCCCCTCGGAGTGCAGCAGTTTAAGGCTGAAACTGCTGATGTGTTTTCCCTGCAGGTATGAGAGGGTTCCAGATGGCATGGCCGCTCCGGGGTACCCGCCGAGCCTGCAGAGACAAGCGGTGGTACGTGCATGCACTCACGGGCTCAGCTTGTGGGAGCGTATTTTTGGAGTGCTGGAACTACAGTTCCAGAAGATTGGAAGCTCCTGGGACAGAGGGGGCCGGCTGGGAGGGCTGTGGGTGACACAAAGGTTCTGTTCCGTTCTGGAATTTGCAGCGTGGATTAGCGGGCAGCGAGCGTGCCCAAGCAAGCGTCCCTCTCCCTCTTTCCCTTCCAGATGAACAGTGTGGCTCGGCAGCAGCCCCAGTTCGGGGGCAAATACGAGCAGCCCGGCTTTGCCCCTCCCGGCTACCCCCACTCCTTCCATGCTCTGCCAGGCTCCCCGGGGCCGCGGCGGCCGGAGGGGCCGGCGCCGCGCAAGGGCCGGCTGGGCGCCCACCCCTACTCCCCGGACGGCCGCCACTTCGGCCGCGAGCGCTTCGGCGACCCCGACTACGGCCGCGGCAAGCGCGACGAGTACGGCTTCGAGGAGCGGGGCCACGAGGCCGAGCACCACTACCGGGGCGGGCGCGAGGAGCACTACGACGACAGGCACCGCGACAGCTGGAGCTACGAGTACCGCAGGGAGAGCTACAGAGAGCCCAAGTGGCACTCGGCGCGGCATTGATGGACTCGAGGGCAAAGGAACGTTGTTTCTTACTCAGTACATGTATAAACCCCCCCAAAAAAACCCCGGTGAAGACACCTTTCAGTGTGACTTTTAAAAAAAATACCAGCAGTGCAGTCCTGCCAAACTCTGGTCTCAGTATTAAATGTGTTAACGCACACTTCAGGGCTTTTGACGGGCTAAGAAAGCTGTGGTGAGTTCTTGGAGAAGCCACCACTCTGTCCTTGTGTCACAGATAAGTGCTGTTGGTATTGTTTTACAAGAAATGAACATCTGTGTCAGATGAACGGGTCTGGTGTTTTAAGCAGAGCTCAGGTGGGACAGATGCTGCCTGGCATCTGTAACATTCCTCATATTCTTTTTTTATACAGTCACAAAATCACAGGTTGCTCTGGGTTGGTAGCAACCTTAAAGACCACCTCACTCCAACCCCCTGCCACAAGCAGGGACACCTTCCACTGCACCAGGCTGCTCAGAGCCCCATCCAACCTGGCCCTGAACGCTTCCAGTGATGGAGCATCCACAATTTCCATGGGCAACCTGTTACAGTACCTAAGCACCCTCACAGTAAAGAATGTTTTCCTGATATGTAATATAAACGTACTCTCTTTCAATTTGAACCCATTCCCTGTTGTCCATTTGAAATATAACAACATTATCTTGGAGAACATGGAAAGCCCCTGGGAGAACCTCCGCCTTTGAGGCCGGGGCAGCGGAGCTGCTCCGTGGCACCCGTGACGGGAGGCGGGCCGCGGACCACCGCGGACTACATCTCCCAGCAGCCCTTGCGGCGCACCCGATCCCCGTGGAGCCCGGGCGGCGGCGTGGGGGCCGCCGGGAGCTGTAGTGCGGCGGCTATGCTGGGCGGCGGCCGCGCCGGCCTGGGCCGCCTGCGGATCAGCGCCGGGCGGTTGTGGCGGGGCCGGCGGAGCGCGGCGGCCATGGCCGGCGGCGACATGGGGCAGCGCATGGTCTGGGTGGACCTGGAGGTGCGGGCAGGCGCTGCGGGGCGCGGGGAAGGAGCGGGCGGGACGGGGGGCGCGGGCCCCGGGCGCGCTGACGCTGCCGCTCGCCCCTGGCAGATGACGGGCCTGGACGTGGAGAAGGACCAGATCCTGGAGATGGCGTGTCTGATCACCGACTGCGACCTCAACGTGCTGGCCGAGGTGAGCCACGCGGCACCCCGCGGGCGCTCCCAGGGACAAAGTAACGCCGGGCGGCCCCGGCCGGGCCCCGGCCCCGGCCCCGGCCCCGGCCCCGGCCCCGCACCGGCCCCGGCCCCGCACCGGCCCCGGCCCCGGCCCCGCACCGGCCCCGGCCCCG